TTTTGTAAATATAAATGAATTTGTTATGCATGTTGTATGTCAGATAAGTTGTGAAAATAGCTTTTAAACATTTTTCAAATGCAAAATCTGCCTTTTTTTAGTGCTCTCGCGTACTCTTAATGACGAGTCTTGCTGATTTTTATGTTTTCTGAGTGGACGTGAAAACACTCAAATGTGAGCCGCAATTAGAGTGTTTAAATACGTTTTCACAAATTCTTATCTGCGTCGAGAATGCGACATTATACAATCATAATGATATCAACATTCATTTTTTTGTTTATTTTAAGTAATTATATTGACAAAGACAAGGAATGGTTTGTTAATTTTTGAATTATGTGGAAGTGCATGTGTTAACAAACCCATAAACTTTTGACATCTAGTTTTAGTATTATACTTAGCTTTGAATCGTATATCTGTTATATAGAAAATCTAATTTCTTTAATTTCTCATTCAAAATTTTGCTGTAGAACATATTTCTTTGTACGAGGTGTAGAAGTCATATGTTCTCACATTTTGTGTCCTCATATTGATATTGACTCTTCAAGATAACTCTTATCGTTAATATATATTTTCTTTTGAATAATATTATTATTTTTTTCAAAGCTGATTGGATCGACATCAATACGTTCCTAATAATAAAACATCAAAAATAATTGTGTTTTGTATTCTGTCGTTTTATTTTTTCTTTTCAATATTATCTTTATTCTCGTATAGCTGAAAAATGGATCGATTTCACAAGAAGAATTTTCATATGTTCTTCATTATTTACTGCGTTAAATCAAGTATACGAATGATACACACGAAACGATAGATGAAGGTTATGAAACGAAATGAACCTTCTCTGCCTCAACATACCCGTATCCTTATCAGAGATCGAAACGAATAAGAAAATGTCCATTCGGATTCGATTCGATTCATACCAAAAAAGAGAACAAGTCTTTCAATTCCATAAGTAAAATGTATCTACGTCTCGCATAAAATTCCGCTTAGGTTTTTGTGTGTGTATATCATAAACCTATCGATTTAGAAAATTATGAAGCTTCAAAGCGAAGCTACAGTACAAATTAAGACTTGAGTATTGTAAAAAAAATATTTTTTCTTATCGATCAGTGAAGGTAGTATTAATTTCTGAATTTGCATAGTTAACGCCGTTAAAATTATCTTTTTCTTGGAAGAAGGCGTACATCATAGAAAAAGGATAAACTAACTTCTATTTTCCGTCGAACTCGATTTCAATCTTCTGATCTGAACTGCAGTGAGTAATCTGTAATCTTTGCTGGATCAATGCCGTAGTCTTCAAATTAAAAAACTTCGATTTTTTAGTTTTTCAGGCAAGTTTTTCAATGCCAGTTGTTATCTCAATTAACGAAACAGAATATATAGAACAGTAATAAATCATCTAAACTACATTTATTTATAACTGTACTGCTGATCATGCAATCGAAGTAGCAAACGCTTGTCATACCAATTAAAGAACTCTATCTATGTATTGACTAAAATGCTGCAAAACATCGAAAGTCTTCTTGGCAACTCTAAATACTACATAAAATCAGAGAATCCTATTAGATATATAGAAAGAAAAGTAGTCATGAAAAAAGCTGTACATGTATCTGTTTTGTCTGAAATTATCAATTTTAGAATAAATCAACAGACGCTGACTTTTTTTTTTAAATGGAAATACAAGCAATAGTTGAACTAGTGGATTTCTGACGCAAAGAAATCGATTCAGTTTGAAAAAGTTCAAGACACAGTAAACATGAACGCTACATTGAAGTAAATTTTATTGTTCGTAGTTGAGAGTTAATGAAGACGTTACGGTTAAGTCGTATAATGTATTTTTTGCACCAGAATCACTTCGTTTGACTCTTAAGGTTATCGTTTTGTTCGCAAAAGATACTTGTGTTAAATAATAATCTTTGTTTTCCATCTATCAAAGCCAACATTTTGAAATTGAAACATCTAAGATCCAAATTTTACAAGTATCGTAACAACAACTTCATCAATAACTAATAGTGACACAAAGCGACTAACGAGGAAACTTTCCTAGATGCTTCTTTCAGATTTCAATGAAGTTTTTGCCTATAAATGTTTTATGGTATTCTGGTAAAAATTTTAAAGGATTTTGATTTTTATACTCTCCTTAGAAGTTTATGAATATTTTTATTTCCTCTCTATCATGGATAACATATCTACAATATTAAATGATCCGTTAGTCAATCAAAATGCAAGCTAAGAGTCGGAATATTATTTTTCCGATGTTGCTTGATATCTATTGGGTGGGCCATAAACAGTACTATGATAAAAATTAAAATGTTTTTGCTTCTGCTGGCTCGAATTGGCTGATTTTGTTTTGTTAGTTGTAGAAGCTCATTGAAATTTTCTTTTCATACGGATAACGTAAACAAATACTACTGTCAAGTCAGACTTTTGGTCTCATTATAGAAATTTCACTTATTGTGAGAGATACATTAGTTTCAAGAAAACATTATGTCAAATATGATATTTTCTTCTTCTTAACAGCATAACTCTTGTAAATTGTTTATATCAACCATAATCTGTTTCTTTTTGCTCTTTTCAAAACTGTAGTCGAAATTCATAAAATAGAAAATAAAGTGTGTCAGTGTAGGTGCAGCAGCCTGTATTTATGTGCATATGGATCTTCTATCTAACAAAGCTATACCTTAATAGTTCACATCGATTTGTTACTTCCCTCAAACTCTCATAAAAGAATGTTGTTCTTTGTCAGAATCAAAGAGATGTAAGCCTGATACAATCTTATGCACTAATTTCATAGTCATCGTAGATCTGATATTTTAAATTGAAATTGAATTGGTCCAACAACAACAATTTTCGATGAAACTTTGATGCAAACAACGAATTAATGCTGACAATAGACTGTAATACTGATATTGAATATTTTGAAGGTTTAGCCAGTTCTGTTTAGTTCTATGGTGATAAGAGTGGATGATGTGTTGAAGAAAACAATGGAAAATCTCACTATTGTTATTCAATCAATTCAAAATTTCGAGTTTCTCAATGGAAAGATCATCCGCAATTGAGCCTATAATCTATATGTCAAACAAACGTTAGTTTGTAGTAAAGAAATGCTCATAAAAGAATGTTTTTGGCATTTCAGTATTTCAATCAGGATTATATCTTATATCTGTAATTGACCAGTCAATTCATGCGAAAATATGAAGGAAAACGGTTCCTCTTGTAGGCTACTGAAATTCCAAAAAATAGATCTTTTTCAACTTGTAGCAGGCCATTTTGTCTATTGTTTCGAGGCCTCCTGTACACACTACTGAATGCGAGTTTAGAACATGATGTTCACGTTTCGATCACGTCTCGAAATTAAAATGATAAAATCCTGTAAATATCAAAGATAGGGCCTCTGCAATACATTTTTCAATACTCAGCATATATGGAAACTAAAAATTGATTGTAGAGCACTCGTCACTAAAATTATTTGCAAAATTATTGTACAAAAATTCCCAGCATGATATGACTTAACAATCGAAACTTTCTGTTTTGTAATTTAAGATATGTGGGAGAAAGGTTTATTGCATCAAAATCATATCTTGCGATTCATGTGAAACAACTGATATTAACACGATTTGGAAACCCGATTATTTCCTCTGAACAAAGATGCTGAGTATCAACCTTCGATGTACATGTTTCAATGTAAAACAATATGTAGTTGTTTCTACCGTGCGCAACTCACAAAATGTTCGGTGAAAGGATGTTAAAGAGCTTCATGTATGTACGATCACAACGAAGAATAAACTACTGATATTTGTTTTGTGTGTAACATAAAATCGCAAGCAAATGTATTAAAACATATGAAAACATGTGGGCTTTCTAATGATGTATGTTTAAATCATGTCTCTGAGATGAAGGGAGACAGATTTATTCAGTCAATCGGTAGATTCCTTCAGAATAAGCTAACGATCAACAATCGTTTTCTTAGTTTCGTCGATAAATATTTTGAGGTTTATGGACTGCAATTTTTGTTCTGTTTTTTTTTCCTCTTCACAACATTTGACAGTGGTTTAATCCATTTGCTATCAGTTTTCAATCATAGTAAATGCGTTACTTTTTATTTGTTTCATGTTTTCTAAAGAAAGTCTGTCGAAAAATATACTAATTATACATATTGTAGCTTTTTCTTAATTTAATGTGAATTAAAAAAATTATCGTGAATTTCTAAGTGAATTACGATCTACCAGTGTGTCGAATTATTCATTGCTATGCAGCCCATTGATTTATCATTTATTTTTTGGATGGGAATGTGAGTGATGAGGTTGTGACATTGTGAGTACGCCCTCTTGTTCAGCACATTCTAATCTCCTGTGAATTAAAAGAAAGCCTACAGATTATATGAATCTGACTAACTCTATAGCTGTGCGAGATACCCTAGACTTATGTCCACGAATATAAACCATTCTAGGCATTATACCGAGATGAATAAATTTGAAGACGCCGCAATACTTTCTACAATAAAATGAGAAGATCCTAATGGTATGTACCCGTTCCATTTCAGGTAGTGCTTTTTATGTAAAGCATAAATATCTTGTCAATTTTTTGCGCTACTATATCACCTATCAATCAGCATGCCGAACATTCTGGATTACATAATCACCGCTTTTCTGAGCAACATCAATGTTGTCTTTTTTCAAGTTCACTTTGAACTGAAAAGACATCATGAAAGCGGCTCATTGCTTTTCCTACTGAATTAATGATTCTTCTGTTGCAGTCTATTAATAGTTATTATAAACTGAAGAAATACCATTATTTGCTCATTACCGTTTTCTTCCACTTCAATAATAAGACTGTTTACCTGCCATCTCCATACTTTTTTAATGATTACGAATTCAAACGCATTCCTCCAACTAGCAGTTCCTCAACTTAAATTCTTCTTTTAAAAGCAGCTACCAATCAAGTTGACATTGTTCTAATTACTTAGGATTCAATTTTGATAGAAAATGATTTGTATTCTCATGCAACTATGGATATTAGTCATAGGTGTTCGAGCTTCTCATTACAAAGTAATGGCAAAATGCAGCAACACTAATGTATATCTTTATGATTTGTCTTGCAGGGTGGCTTAATTAATTGGAAACCCGTTGATCCATATACCAATTCCAGTAGTGTTGAAGTTATATTTTATCAATCACATTCATGGACATTGAGTCGTCTCAATTGCGATCAAGCACTGATTGATAGTTTAGGTCTCTATGTAGATGGAACTGTTTTCACCAATGAACCATTTATTGCATGCCAATCAACTGGAGGCTGTTTAGGAACAGGATTTACCACTATTTCTCAGCCCACTTATTGTACTGATTTTTCCAATGCTGTAAAAATTAGTAGTGGAGCTTTAATTTCAAGAATGACTCTAGACCGTAATACGGACATTCTAGTTGGATTTATCGGAAGTGCTTGGGCTGACGAAATCAAACAGCCGTCCAACGCTGGCGCGACTTATTGGCGTGTGATTACTCATATTGATCTCACACAAAAATATCCTATCAACTCATCACCAGGTATCAATCTCTAAAGATAAAAACTTAACTACTATCAATGTTTTACAATATTTTTCAGTTACTGGATCTCTGCCTCTTATTCGTGTCATCGAAGGACAAACAACCATCATTCAGATTCCAGCAGCTGATTGGGATCGAACTGATGATATTCGTTGTCGCTGGGCTAGTAGTTCAGGTCCTGCTGGAGATGAATGTGGTGATATATGCAATAATTTACCAGGTGCTGTTCTATCGTCAAGGTCAGTTTTGTCTCTTTCAGAGATATGTATCAAACTTTTTCTATTTTGTAACATGAAAAAATTAGCTATCTTCATTCTATAGTGAATGCACAATAACATGGAATGCTGTTAGACGATCAATCGATGCATCTTTGACTACAAGCACTTATGTAGTAGCAATCATGCTGGAAGACTTTGTGAATACTGCAAGTACTACTCCTATGAGTTCGGTTCCATTACAAATGTAAACATATTCATCAAATTTCATCATTATTTCCAGTGAACTCTTCTTTTATTAGGCTCATTTATACTTATCAACCAGCATCGGGAGCTTGTAGTGTCATACCGGCAGTGATTGGTGATCGTCCTAATCGTGCTTGTATTGGTAAGACATCAACATTCAAATCATTCCCATATAACCTATATGATTCCTAGGCGTTTTACCTGATGTACAACATGTTGAACGTATTGTTGCTGCTGTTTATTGTACTGGTGATTACATCACTGAATTCGTCACTATTTCACCTTTGTATATGAAGAAAACAACTATAACTGCTGTTAGTGGTACTACTAATCAATGGTATATCACACTTACATGGACACCAACAACTGATCAGATAGGACCTCAAGTAAGTTTTATTATGTGCCGATGAAAAAAATCNTTTTTGAAAACAAAAAGTAAACAATTAAAATAAGCTTTACTTCCTAGATTGTAGAGCTTTTTACGCTACATCTTGTGGTATATTTTGTTTTTTCAAAATAAAACATATTAAGTCATAAAAAGATGAAATAGGAAAAAAGAAATTTCTCGTTCGTGTAGAAAAAAAATGATGTTTTCGCAAAGACAAAAAAAGACTTTATAGAATTTTGCTTTTTTTGAAAACAAAAAGTGCATCATTAAAAAAAGCTTTACATTGTAGAGCTTTTCACGCTGCATCTCATAGTATATATTGTTTTTTTAATAATACCTATTATGAAATTAAAATATGTAATGCAAAGTGCGGCCATTCATTATGGGTCACCCGTTAGTATTTATCTAAAATTTCTGCTTAACATTTTGCAGAAAAACTTTTGATAGATTCTTGTAGAAAGTTGAATCATGAATCTTCGTAAGAAAATATTAAGGCATGATGATGAATCCTAACGAGAATATTAAGCAAATACTTTGAGAAAAGTTCATTCTGATACATTCATTAGTTTTAGTACTATACAGTTTTTTTATCATAGATTGGTCATATAGAAAATCTAATTTCTTCAATTTATTATTCATATATTGCTCTAGAATGTATTTCTTTGTGTGAGACGCAAAAGCCATGTTCATATATTTGTATCTGCATATTGATATTGACTCTTCAGATATTTGCTGAGTGTTAAAATAAATTTTATTTTGAATAAATTTCAATGTCAAACCATTGTTTATAGTAAGAAATCAAATAAAAATAATATTTCTCCAGGTAGAAAATGACGAGTCATTTGTTTCTAGGACAATCAGTATTCTTATCTCACTTTGAACTTTATTTTTTTTTTATTAATAATATTCCTGTTCTTTTTGTGAAAGTATTTACGTCACTACCGGGACTTTCATTGTTTGATGAAAATAAAGAAATAGCCGTTTATTTTACAATAGAAAAAAAAAAGTCTTTTCTATGAACATCAAAGATTTGAACACATCATCTGATAATATCAATATTTTTATTTTTCGTGGAAAACGAGCAATGAGAAACACATGGTGTGTGGAATCAATTCGCCCTTTATCTCTCTAATAATGTCTCCATTTGTTTAACGTTATAAGAGCTACGATGAAAAATATCCAACTCGTTACGCCATCAAATATCGTCAACTACCAAATATCATTTGAAAATTTCAGCAAAGAAGAAACTCTAATATTCCTTGGACTTTTTATCAATCACAATTTGAGATACAACGATAGAAGTAAACCATTAATGACCAGTTGATTCTTCTTAATTAGAAATACAACTTCAAATATCGTAATTAAGATGAATGAAAACGATTAGCAACTGATGTGTTGAAATTAGTACTTGCATTTTATGATATAAATTAAACAGTCTACGATACAAACTAGTATTAGTATTGAAAGAGTATTCATCATCACTGTATGAACTCTTAAATCATATAGAAAATGATAACTATTTAATGATTTCAACATCATTGAAACATCTTCAAGTTTGCTTGATTCGATACAAAAATTCAGATATCTACTTTACAAAGATAATCATTGTACTATGTATGAATATACCGATACTTAGGTTTGAAAAGATTTAAGTAATAAGAATATAAAATATCATAAATATAATTGACAATAACAACTGACTGATATTTTGATCTAGTGTTTAGATTCCTAATTACCTTTCGAATGGTTGTCTCCACTTTTATTCATCTCATAAATAAAAATTTTAAGAGATTTCTTTGATTTATCTTTGATGGTATACAGTATATTTTGATCGTATTGCTGGGAAATCATACTCGCGAGTACTTAATCATATACTCTTAGCTTGAACTATTCATCCTCTTTTGACATCATTACTTCGCACATTTGATACTAAATGATATCTGCATTTTAGAAAAAAAATCCAATACTTCTAGAAAATGAGTGTCTGATGGCTACTGACCTATATATATACTTATTCGTCGAAATTAAAGCAAAGAGAGTAGCATTAACATCGATATATTCGTAATAATGAAAAATCATCAATGCTTTTCTTTCGCGTATTTTGTCGTTTAATTTTTCTTTTCGATTTTTTCATTTGTTCTTCATCATTTATTCTGTTAAATTACTTCTATATAATGCATAATATTGGGTTACATTTTTGTCACCTGTGTAGTTTCATTACTTCTCACATGCCAAAAGTATTTTCATAGATTTTTTGTAAGCAATATATGACACTTTATGTCATTTTGTTTTCGTATTTCATCTTCTCCGTTTGATTTTTTTAAAATTTTTCTCTGTTACAAAATTATTTCAAAAACTTTCATAAAAGTATTATCTATGACGTAATTTGGTGAATTTATCAATCATTTCAAACAATATATTAGAAAATAAAATCAAAGGTTTCATGGTTCGCATAAATTATCTACTTAATCATTATCAATAATTTCTATCTGTAATTTTCGATTTTTCTTCAAACTTTATCTTGAAGTTGTAACATTGTATGTGTTTTTATTGGATGATTTTGATTTCGATAATTAACCGTTTTTTTTTTTGAAGAAGAAATTATTTCTACATGAGGTAAATAATTAGAATAAAATTGAAAATAATTATCTTTTAGAAAAAGAAAATTTTAAAAAATATACAATATAGTGACAAAAATTTATAAATAAATATTTTACGAAGCAGCATATAAGTTATTGTTTCTCTTTAATTCTCAATTAGCATCACAATATTCATTGTATATAATATATTTTTATGTTTTCGAACAAATAAAATACTCTATCATATTTGTCCATCACAAAAGATTTTATTAACACGTTCAAATAAGTTAAATTGCAATAAACTCTATTTTTTTTTATAAAAAAAAAACTCTTGATCTTTATTCAAGAAAGGCCACTCATGGAAGACGTGACAATTCATGAAAAAGTATGTGAAAAATGAATGACGAATACTTTGTAAATACACAACATATTAAAACGAATAAATCAATTATTTAGAAACCGCATAATCTATATATGTATTCAAAAAGTATTGAAATCATTCCGTCTATGTACATCAATCACATTCATGGACTTTTACTAGTAGTTATAAATGCAACCAGTTACTGATCCATATCATGATGATCCTTATTTTAGATGCTTAAGTTCCACACCCGCTTGAACGCTAGCAGAATATTCTCCCATCAATAATCGAATTCGTTATACTGAATTTTGAACTAAAGTACAAATAAACAGCAGAATCTGATTGTAAATATTATTGTTTGTATCGTATCATCGACTTTCAGGTTAGATATGTGGAGTTGGTTAAGCCTAATGAAATCAAATAAAAAATAGATAATTCACCAGTAGTCGACTAGACAATGACTTCTCGTTCTTATACTACTAAAATATATCCGATCAACTTATCTCTAAGTATGTTTTTCATGCATGATATTATTCAAAATGTTATAAATGTTATTTTCAAGTAGTCGAATTTATTCTCATCATTCGTGTTGGGGGTGAGTGTAGCTCTGTGTATGGGTTTCCGGACGTGGAGGAAGATATCGAGATAAGACCTACCTTCATACCTGTGTCTCAGCATCCTGAACTCTGTATATGTATGAATATAGAGTAGAGTGTAGGTATGAGTGTGGTTCTACTCTTCAACATACTAATACACCTATAGTCCGCATCAATTCATTATTTCTCTCAAAGTCTCATCGAAGAAGTCTAAGCCTTCTGCAGTCGTATGGACTAATTTCATAGTGATGTTCATGGTAAGTGTTGCGAACCATAATCTGAACTACTGGGATAGAATATTGTAAAAATTTGTTCAGTTCTATGGAGACAAGGATGGATGAAGTGTGCGAGAAAGCAATGGAAAACCGTATCATTGTTATTGAACTATTTAGAAATTGCAATATTCTCAGTGGAGCGGTCATTCGAAATGGTATCTGAAGTCAACATTTCAAATAAAGGTCAGGCTAAAAGAAAAAAATATTTATAAAAGAATTTATCAAAGTATCAATATTTCAATTAAGATTACATCTAATATGTGTAACCGATCAGTCACTCAAAACCAATATGTGAAGGACAGTGTTTCCTTTTGTCGACTACAAAAATACAACAAAATGGTCTTTTTGAGTTTTTAGCGGGCTGTTTTGTATATTGTGCGGAGACTCCATGTTTACACTACTCAACACAAGTTTAGGATGCCATTTCCAAATCTCGATCATGCCTAGAAATCGCAATCTTCTATAAACATTCGAGATACAGCTTGTGCAATGCATTTTTCAATACTCAACATACATCTTACGGTAAAATTTGATTTTAGAGCACTCGTTACTAAAAGTATTTTGCAAAATCGTTTGATAGATACCTACAGAATGATATTGCTTAACAAAGTAAATGGATGACGCCTTACGCTTAATTTTTGTTCGATCAACAATAGTTCATTTTGTAGTAGTGATGAGAGTGCAGTATCTGAAAAAATTTCAGTTTTGTAATTTAAGGTATGCAGGAGAACGACCTATTGCACTGAAATCATGTCTCATGATTCATGTAAAAAACTGATAGCAATGTGATTTTGAAATCGTATGTTTCTGAAGAAATATATTGAGTATCAACTTTTGATGTGTATTTTTCAGTGCAAAATAATATGTTGCTACTTCTACTGTACGAAATTCACAAAGACGTGCTTGATGAAAAAATGTTAGAGTACCATGTACGAACGGCCAGAATCAAGAGCAACTTACTGAGAATTTTTACGCTTAATGAAGGGTTGAAAAAAATGTATTGAAATATTTAACTACACCTGCGCTTTCGTATGATGTGCATTTGAGTAGTGCCAGAGAAAATGACGGGGGGTGTGGGGGGGGGGGGGCGGGGCGCAGGTGTCTCCACCTACCCCGCGAGCTGCCCCAAAATAAACCTACCAAAAAGTAATCT